AGCAGGAAATATGGGAAGTATCTTTCCTTAATTGAAAGTAAAGGGATTGCCTACAAACATGGAGAATGTGTTTGTCTTACTGTGGGGCTGTTTGAAGGCTAAGGAATACTAATTCTTAGCAGTATGTCTTGTTTCTGAGGCCAGTGAAATAAATTAGAGCAGAATTAGGGCTGTCTGCATGATTAGGGGATCAAGAAGTGGCCTGATAATTCAGGAGAATTGTGTCAGCATTCATACTTAAAACATAACAGACCACTACAAGAAATTAATGCTTGTGCAATCTGTAGACAACTGCTGAATTCAGAAGAACAGTGTATTCTGCCTAATATAACAAAACTAGAAGGTGAGTGGACAGGTAGCTACATTAAGCCTTAATACTTTTTCTTGCTTTATGCAATATATTTGAGGATTTAATATATATTGTGTTGCTTTGCCTAATGCAAGACAACTTGTGCAAGGTGGCAAAAAAAAAAAACAAACCCTAAAACTTTCTGCTAGTGTCTGTAAATAGCTGCTGGCATCTTAGCCTATAAGCTTGCAACTCATAAGCTGGTAGTTTCTTTCTCTTCTGAAACTGGGTGTGTTTTCATGAGGACTGTTCTCCTCTTGCTGAACTGAGGCATCTACATGTAAAGCCAAGGAAATGTTAAGCAATTCCAAATGGTAACTTAAACTGAATGGTCTGTAGGAGGAAATAGGCACCTTCTAAGCCAGGCTTGAAGTTCTATAGGATGCATGTGGACTTAATTTAGGAAGATCCTATGAGCATGTCATTATTTCCAAAGTACAGGAAGACCTGGGATATGTCAACTCTATTTTGACTTACTGATATTTGAGCATCCCCTTCTGTGTCCCTTCCCTCTCTTGCACCCCTTCCAGCTCCCCCCCCCAACATTCCTTCTTGATGTCTAAAGAGAGTGAAATAATACTAAGTACTCAGGATGTACCACTTTGGAAACAAATGAGAAATCCATATTCTTCAACCTGGGGAAAAGCTTATGATATCAGCAGTAAGGATGCATGTCCTACCAATTATTTAGACAGATCTAGTTACTATTAGTTGCAAGCCTTTACCTGCAGAGACAGTGCTCCTGCCAGCAGAGCTGAAGTGCCACAGAAATCTGGCTGGTAGGCCAGGGAGGCTATTGTGACATGGAAAAAATCTTGTCCTAAGGCCAAAAAAAAAATAGATAGACCTAAAAGTGCTGTTTAGTAACATATGGTTACACTTGCGACTTTGGTTGTGTGATGGTGGTTTGTGGGTTTTTTGTTTTGTTTTTTAGAACTGTCAGGAGCCCTGGCTTTGTATTTTAAGGCTCATATCAGTAAATGGAAGTTCATATGATTGAGTTCTCAGTGAACTCAAGTGGAAGATACTACTTCAGTCAAAAGTTTTAATGGAACCCTGGCTTCTGGTTTTGGAGGATCTTTAGATTTGGTTTTTAAATCAACTTAAGACTCAAAATAAAAAAGTAGGTTCTTAAAGATTGTAGGCATGTACTACTAACAATTGATGCTTGTAACAACCTAACTTCAGAAGCTTTTTCACAAGCTAGCCTGTGACTGTAGGCACAAGATATGCAAAAGGCAGTCTAATAATGCAAAAAGATGCTGTCAATGAAGTGTCTTTTGCTGAACCTCTGAGTTGCAGCTTTTAATGAGAGCTACAAATTTTCTTGTTGAGGGACAAGTACAAATTTTGTCTTCTACATGCTATAGTTGAAGTAATGACAGTGAAAGAACAGGTTGAATTGCTGAAACCATTTAGTCTAAAGTTGATTTAGGAATTTTTTTAAAAGCAAGCTTTAAAAATGTATGGTGAACTTCATGTATTTTTCTCTTCTAGGAATTGGCTATGCCATGTCACTTCTGGGTCCTGCTATTGGCTATGTCTTAGGAGGGCAGCTACTTAATATTTATATTGATATCCAGATCCCAGAAAGGCAAGATACAACTTAGTCTTTTGCTTTCTGTTTTCTTTTCCTAATAATTCTTATTGAAATCTTCAGCTTTTCCTCCATGTGAGGAGTATTTTTGTTTGGAAAATACTGCATTTTCAAGAGCTGCTTTAGCTTGGCAACAAGCTGCATTTACAAGGGCTTCTAGCAGGTGAGTTACTTCCCACACTGAGTAGTCACTCCATTGTGTGTAAAAGTTTCTCTGTAGTGAAAATACTTAGTTCTAGCTTTTTGAGATATTGAATATTTTAAAGCTGACTAACAGAAAATGCTTTGTCTTTTGAATAGTTGCTCATTTAGGGTTAGACTACAACTATTGATTTCTTGTGCAAAAAGTTTCCCTGAGGTAGGATATGAGGGGTAGGATACTGCTACTTACCTCCTGGGGAATAAGTTGCTAGAAAATCTACCAGTTGGGTGATAGAGCTCTATTCGAAAAAATAATGTTATAAATTGTACTACTGTCCAAACCAACAACTTCATTTACACCTCTGTTTCCTGTGTTTTAGGGTCTTCGGATCAATGCAATGGCTTTCTGAACTTCTGTACTGGCTTTCACATAACTCATTGATCATGAAGATTCTTTCTAAAAACAGCTTTTTTCAGTATCTTAATAATGCTACAGGATCTTGAAATCAGGGCCGAATAGTGGCCTTTAAATCAGAATGAATTTGCTTAAGGAGTTGAAAGCTATATTTGATAGAATGCAATATTGTTATAATAGAGCTAATGAATGTGCTTTAAACAAGCAAACAATAAATTTAATACATGTAGAAAACAAGAAAATGACAGTATTCAAAGGCTTTCTGTTATATCGGTACTTAAAAAAAAAAAAAATTCCAGCTCACTGACATCTGAAATTGCTGATTTGAATTCATGAATGGTAAACCTGCTTTTTCAAATTATTTTCCAGCACAAAGATGGATCAAGATGACCCACGTTGGCTTGGAGCATGGTGGATAGCATTTCTTGCATGCTTTTTTGCAATTTGGCTTCTTATAATACCTTTTTCATGCTTTCCAAAACACCTACCAGGTAAATGTTTAACAATAATGTACTACTTTGGAAGAGAGACTTGTTTATACTTGAGGGTTATAGACTGTTGGACTGAGTGATTGATTCCTCTTTGATTCTGTTTCTTGGTTAAATGTCTCAGGCTAAAACCTGATAATAAATACCTTGTTTGCAATATGTAGCCTTTAAAACAAGGTGAATGGGCTGGAGGGGGCATCTTGTGTACATAATGGTGTACAGTAAGACTGGAAACAGGTAGAGCGTGGAAACTGATGGTCGAAGTTTGGAAGATGCTTTCAGCTAAGCACCCAGGACTGTATTTAAAGCTGCTGTTTTGCCTACCAAGAATCATAAGGAAATTCCATTGACTCAACCAATGCATTGTTGTCTTTGACTCTATTGCCTTATTGTTTTGGGTGGAACAATAAAGCATGAATCAAAGTATCCCAGAGCAATCTTCTAAAAAGAGTAATTTTAATATAATTTCTGTTCAGGCAGATACTACCTAGGAGTCCCTTGGAAGAGCATCTAAAGGAACTTACTATGCTTATCTGGAAAGAGAAATGATGGAGGAAAAGAAATAACGAAGTAGGGAACTGGGGAGAATGTGAGGATGATTTTAAAAAAAAAAAAAAGGAATGGGCTTCCGGATACTCTGAAATACTTAGGATATCCCTTCCTAGGGATAGGAAGGTATCTTCTTACAGTCAAGGCCTTTGAATGGAAGCATGATGCATTCAGCCAAATTTTTCTTTCTGTAGCAATGTTATTGATCCTTTTATGGATCTGTACCAATGAACCAAATCTGTATCAAAGGAGACTTACAATGTCTGAGCTAGTTTTCCCAAGGAAAGGAAACACCTATTTTGATGCCATTTCTGAGTTTAAGAGCACAGATAATTAAATGTTTTCATTGTCAATAAATATGCCTATTTGTAGGAACAGCAAAAATACAGGCCGAAAAAATCTCTGAAGCTCATAATGATGGAAGTGAGGTACTTGTTGAGATGAAGAATATTGGAAAAAGTTTTAAAGACTTTCCCATGGCTCTCCTGGTAAGGAAATCTTGAGTTTACTAAAACTGATACATTCTGAGAAATTAAATTCTTTCGTGTAATACATAAGTGTTTAGAAAGGTAATTGCTTCTTTATTGTGTTGTGATAGAGAAGTCTCCAGGGCTACTGATAATTTAATGCATATTAATTTTGTTGATGCTTAAGATTGTTAAAGCAAGAAAAGCATATTAGTGAAGGTGCACATGAAAGTATCTACTTTAAAATATAGTGTCTTCTAGTTTACATGATGCGACAGTGACATAATTTCCTGAATGTTATGCTAATTTCCCCCCATAGATACTGTTAAAGAATCCAGTGCTTATGAGTCTAATAATAGCCAGTTCTTCAGAAGCTTTAGTTGCCACTGGCTTTGCCACATTTCTACCAAAGTTTATAGAAAATCAGTTTGGAAAGACATCAAGTTTTTCAGCAACTCTTGGAGGTAATGTGGCTTTTCATTTTTAAATTTTAAAGATATTGTGCTGAACACCTCTAACATTGTAAGTGGAAGCTTATGTAGGCATCTTTTGTCTGAGGTATTTGTGAATATGCTTATATGAAACTCAGTTTTCACAGCAGAAACAGTATTTTTATATTATTCTTGCCTGCCCTATGGAAATCCTGGTGCTTAATTCATCAAGGGTGCAGAGGTACTCATTTTAAGTTCAGAAGACTCAATACTCATATTCAAAGTAGAATAAGAATTTTGTGTGCTGCTGAAACTGTAATTTATTCCTTTCTTATTCTTGGTGAAAAATGTTTAATTTTTCTTGTTTAAAATCAGCTGAAGGAGCATTAAGCCTTAGTCCCCACTAAAGGAAGCAAGATGAAGGGCAGCTGGAAAAAAAAGCAGTGCTTACTGCAAGTAAGGGGTTCACTTGGCCTTTCCCTTCAATTCTACTGTAATGTTAGTGAGAGCTTACAATAAAAAAGCTAATCAGGATATATTATAAAACTGTTGTGTAACTGCTTCTATAGTTGGCTTACTGTCACTTATCTGATATACAGAAGTAATAGGTAGAACAGGGGAAGGCTATGAGAAGCTGAATATTGGAGAAACAAATAGGAAATCTGATGGAAGAGCCACACTAGGTAGTGTCACATGATTAATTCTGACATAATTACTTCTGAAGAACAGCAACCAGATCAAGGCAGCTAGGCCAACAGATGCTTGCAATATGGCAGACTTAATATTTCTGGAACATATCTTGCTAAATTATTTCAGCTGTATAGGGCTGCAATATGAACATATGCTAGCTGAAGTGCTCTTTCTCCAACAGAAATATGTTTGGGAGAGACTTTCTAAATGACTTACTCCCCTGGATTATGCTAGATAGTACTATCGCTATTCAGACATTATTGCTTCAAAACAGTCTCTGGAAGTTTTACATAGAAACATATTGGAATACATGCTCAATTGTTAAACAGTAATCAGTAATGAAGTAGAAAACTGAATGTTCCTTTTTTGTCTGTAGACCTTGTCTGAACTTCTTTTTGAGTTGAAAATATTGATAGTGTTAATTAAATGTACAGCTTTAAAGAAATGCCTACACTAACATTGAAAGCTAGCTGTACTGAACTAACATTGAGCTAGCTAGTTTAAGTGTTACCAGTGACCACGTTAACTATTTAAACTACCTTTGACTTACAGGCATCTGCAGCCTGTGCAGTTCTGCTGCTGTACCTGAACTGTCTTTGAAATTAGCTGTCTCAGCTCAGTGCAAGTTACACTGAGTTCTGTGTTGTATTGTATATTAGCCATATAAGACATACTCATTGTGTATCTGGAGTCCTAGCACTGCAAAGAGGATAAATCATTATGGACTGTATGGACTATGACAGCAAAACTGACCCACTGATCTAGACTTTTAAAAATATTTCTGTAGATGCCTTATTGTATCTTGTGCTGTCTCTTTTATAACAGTGATTATGTTCTCTTATTAAAAAAGTTCATAACACAAATGTGTAACAAAGAACATGGACATGTGCAAAAAATGCTGAAGCAATGAAAGAGCATTTCATGTTTCTATGAAGCGGTCTACTGGTGTTCAGAGATTCCTGCCCAGTATGTAGTACTCTTAAGTAATCTAGTTTTGCTGTGTTGAACTTGGGTTTTGGGCAACCATAAATTACACTGCCAAGCTGAACTTCTGGAAAGGGTAAAGATAATGCAAGGGTAGGATAAATTACTTACGCTGACAGATTCAGGTGGGATGGTTTGAAAATGACATCACATGGACTGCATCTTAAGATACAGGTAACCATTGTGATTTTTTTTTTCATAACATAAAATTGCACTCTAAATTGCTTCACTAATTATATCTTGCATTTTTGTGTAATTGCTGGTATCTTGTTTTCCTCTAGGGCTTGTATTAATTCCAGCAGCAGCACTAGGCCAAATCATAAGTGGCATCTTGGTTTCCAAGTGCAAAATGGATTGCAAAAGCATAATCAAGTTCATGATAGGCACTTGTTCAGTGGCCCTACTATTAAACACAGTGTTTTTATTTGCTAAATGTGGGAATGAACCTTTCGCAGGTGTCTCTGAAACATATAATGGGTAAATATATTTTAATGCACTCGGGTTTGGTGTTAATGTTTAAAATAAATAAGCTACATCACAGAATACAAAACCTTTAAAAATGTCATATTTTACCTTGATGTATGAAATGGAAATGTTTTACAGAACTCTAAAACCTTGTTCTTGGAATCTTTATATAATAGATGATTAAGAAAATGCTGCAAAATGTTCTAAGCAGACTGGACCTGCTTGACAAAAAAATCCTGGCTTTTGTAACTATTCTAGGTGTAGTAGCCATGGTATTGACTATAGCTAATTTTCTATCTCTGTAGAAGTACCATGCCTTTTGTATCTTGTTTTATTAACCAACTCTTGACAATCTGGGCAGTTTGTTCCTGGAAGGAGTCTGCCATGTGCAACAATTTCATGAGACCACTGATGTGCACTGCAACTTAAACTCATTGCAAATTTTTCCCTAGAAAAATAAAGACATTATTGTAGCATCACATTCTAGCACATCTAGCCTCCATTTACAAAGGAAGCTTTGTTTTTTTCCTGGTAAAATGGCTGATAGAGGGTAGAAATTTAATGCAGAGAGTGCTCAGTGATCCAAGCTGAAGAATAAAATAGGTGGAGTAACATTGTTAACTGAAATATAATTCAAAATATTTTTGACTAACATGTTTAGAGAAGTCTTTCCTATACAATATGCACTTTTCTTTCCCTTAAACAAAACAATTCTCATTCCTGATGAGAATGCAGTCTATCACTCATTTTTAGGTATTTGTAGTAATTGTAATAAAAATTCTAGGATGGATGTTCTTCCTGTTGCTGTGAAAAAGCTTGCTTTGGAAACCAGTATGGCAGTGGGGAAAAACGTCAGAAAAGTGACAGTAAAAATGAAGCAAGATTAAAAACAAATTTCTGCAAGGATAAGCATTCTTTAGAGAATGCATTTCTAGGTCCACTTTTAAAACTTCAGCATTGAATGTATGTGATCAAATCACCAGCACAGGCACTGTGTTGCGTAAAATGCTCAATCATGCCTTACTAAGGAATTAACAGTAAGATTACAATGTTTCAGTTCTCATAGTTTTAAATAGTACACATTTTTGTAGCATGAGCAGTGTTTAAAAGCAGGAGTAAGGCAGCTGGCTGTGCCAAAACTGTGCTCTCAAGTGGTCCATTACTATGCCATGAATTGACAGAGCCAGAGGCAACTCCAGCTGTTTGAGGGTCTGCCAAAGAGCCAGATGCTGTTGTGCAAAATAACTCCAGTAGGCTGGTAGCTAGGGAGTGCTGGCTATTGTTTGAAAAAACTATAAGCATGAGCAGCATGCTGTGCAACTGGATGAATAACTTCTCAATACTTTGTTTTCCTCAAATCCCCCATTTTAGAAAAGGGTTAGGTACTCCTGTCTTGTACAAAAGCAGAATCTGTAAGTTATGCTCCAATGCATAAAAAGGCGTTTGAACCTACATAGGGTGGGGAAGAGGATCTTTGTACTTTACTGACACAATAGGATGAAGTGCACCATGAAAATGCAGAAGGTGGGTTGGGGGGGAAATTGGTTTTGTAGCCTCTAATGCACATGCAACTGGTAATACTTCTAGGAAAAAAGATAAATATCTATCAACAGTTAGGCTTATATGGTTTCTTCACTTGATATTTATCATGCTTTTTGACTGACTTAAAATGAACATATAGCAAATAGAAGAATGCAGGAAAATTGCATCTTACTCATGGAGACAACTAAGTGTACAAATGTCACAGAATATGAAGGCTACTAATTTTCCTGGGTCCTTTAAGGGAATAATTGACATAAACATAACTGACAAATATTACAAAGTTTTCCCCAAATGCAAAGAGTGACATGAAAGACTAGCCAGATATTTTTCAGGTGTCTCACTTAGGTAAATGTGAAAACAGTAAAATAGATAACATTAAGTTAACAGGACAGAAATTCAGAGGGCTTGGAGGCAGTAGTGACTGAAGACATTCAGGCTTCCAGTTCTCTAACAGAGTAGAAATTTAATGCCATGATACCTTAACCATTCATTTGTCTTTTCTTTTCCAGAAGGCATACAAAATTAATAAACCAAATTTCATACACTGGGGACTGGAAAAAGAAAAAAAAAGTCCTTAAAGCCCAAGTTACCACTCATTTTGATTCTGACTTTACAACTTGCTGTATCAATTGACAATATAGTCAAAGGCCAGTGTTGACATTTGACACTTAAAACGTGGCACTGCTTCAGCATCTGAAAAAATGCTAGCTGTGAGATTACTGTGGACACTTTCACACCTGTGAAAACTAGGATGCAGACTCTGGTTGTAGAAAGTTTATAGTTACATACTGAGCAAAAGAATCTGTACATAGCAACTGAATACTGAAGAGGTTGTATAGAAAATAGCATGTGAAGCTATCCATATTTCTATACCAGGTCCATAATGAGCGGCTGACAAAAGTTACAGCTGAATTGATTTTTGTCCTAAGTTAAATGCAGTTAACTTGTATTTAATAGTTCTGTGTTACTTTGGCAGTTATGTAGTTTAATTGTTGCTGAAGACCTCTTATCTACAGCAATTTGGAGTTAACCAATCCTGAAATAATTCTCTCCACTCAGTATCCATTATAGAAAATGGCTCTGTTTTGTCTAAGCTCTCTACAACTACCTGAAAGGAAGTTGTAGTGAGGTGGGTGTTGGTCTCTTCTCCCACGTAGGTAGCGATAGGACGAGAGGAAATGGGCTCAAGCTGCATCAGGGGAGGTTTAGGTTGGATATTAGGAAAAATTTCTTCACGGAAAGGGTAGTCAAGCACTGGAACAGGCTGCCCAGAGAAGTGGTGGAGTCACCGTCCCTGGAAGTGTTCAAAAAATGGGTAGATGTGGCACTTTGGGACATGGTTTAGTCTAGTCTACCCTTGATTGGCTTAGAGTAGACTTGGTAGTGTAGGTTAATGGTTGGACTGGATGATCTTAAAGGTCTTTTCCAACCTAAACGATTCTATGATTCTTCACTGTTATGTGTTGGACTATAGTTTGTTGAACATGTGACCTGCATCAGAATAGTTAGTTGCAGTAATATAGTGCCAGTTTTGAAACTGCTTTCCATGAAGAAATAAGCAACTAAAATATGTTGTAGTAACTTTTTAAATAAACTTACAAGCTTGTGGATAGCCAAGTGTCTGACTCCTGCTTGTGCTATTGAACAAATGCTTCTGAAAGACTAAATTGTGAGAGTACTCTGAGAGTTGTCTTGGAAATTGATGCAGATTCATTTTTGTGGAGATTTTGAAGAAATCCTTCATGGCAAGCATTTTCTTTCTATTGGAAAAAAAGCCTGGAGGTGGGGGGGTGGGGAAAGCTTTTGCAAGTTTAGTACCAGAACCACATGAGTACAGGATCACTTTTGAGTTCATATGTTAATGAATGAAGTATATTGTTTGTAGTACTGTTTATTACTAAATTAGGCTATAAGCAGAACTAACTTGGTTTACTTCATCTAATAAACACTTCAAAGAATTGTTTTTGCCAACTTCTTTTGCCCAGTATTTCCTTGCAAACTTGAAGGAACAGAAATGCAGTGACTATTTCTGTAGTTCTGTTCCTCCCCTTTCCTTGTTTTGTTTTGCTGTGAAAAAATACCCAACTTTTAGAGCTTTTAAAGGCCATTTAATGGTCTCATCTACTAGGCTTCTTTAGAAAAGTGATGTTAGAACAAAAGTTCATTTCACTAAACTGTATTTCTTCTGTACTTTAATATTTCTCTGACCATGCATAACTAAAGGTTCAGTCCCTCTGTAGGTCAGGGAAGAGAGACACTGTCTGCACTGTAAACAGGACAAATGTTGCCATTGACTTGATTAAATACTTCTAGGTTTGACATGCCTCATAGGCTAACAAGGTACTGTATGAACAAACCTGTGATTAGTTAGTGAATTTGCTTATGGTGCACTGCAGTGATTTAAACCAGTGCAAACTAACTTTGATTCTTCCATGTTTGAAGAATGAACTAATATAACAGTAGGGTTCAACTGTACTACAACCAAATCTAGTATATAGGTAGTTATGATGTCCCTAATATTCCATGTGCAGTTTGAATTCTATGTAAGTTATCAGCTTAATTCCTAGGTGAATTATTTTTCCTCTTAATATTTGTGACCATCTTAAATTTTCTTAAGAAACTTGACTTTTAGATAAAGAATCTGGAACTTTCAGTTTACACTACAATATTTAAACTACTGGCAGTGTCAGTATCCTGGTTTCAGCTGACTGAACTCTTAACCTGTGAAGCTTCTTTACTTACTACACGCACTACTGTCAGAAAATCAAAGGGAATTTTTATGCTCTCCAATTTTATCTTAAGAAGGTCTCCCCACATCACAAACTGAGTTTTTTTTAATACTAATAATATAGTGGGACTACTTAAAATACAACCATACTATGGCCTATACTGGAAGTAAATGCCTAAATTGACAGTAGTTATAGTAAGCAAGAGTTAAATTAAACTCTGTTCTTCATTCCCTAAACAGCTGGAGAAAATCTTTACAGTCCTTTTAGGTGTGATAAGACTTTTTGTATGTCATGGCACTTCCCGTTTAGCATGTGCAGTCATCTTGGTGCTGGAACAATCTAGATGTCTGTATAGCAGTGTCAAAAATAGTAAAAAATGCAGGGGGTTTGCAACTGGACTTGAATCCAAAACAGAAAAAAAACCCATGGAATATGATCAGTAGAATAAACAATACCAAACACTACTTTTAATTGTGTTGCATTTTTCTTAAAACTGTAAATTGAACAAATTCAAGTGTATAAGTGCGTGGGAAAGAGGAGATGATACAAGAATTGTGCTGGGACACAGAATTTTGTCATCTGTTTTGTGAATGGAAATTGGAGGAATAATCTGTGGAAGTAATAATAGTCCAAAAATTATAAAATAATAAAATATATAAAATAATAA